ATAGATGCAATTTTTTGTAATGTATCGAATTCTTCATTTTTGCACAAGACGTCGTTTAATTTATTTATGATTATTTGGCCAATATGTCCTGGTACAATAGATGTGCTGTCTCGAAATTGTTCAATCATCTGTACTGCATTAAATAAAGGCAAATAAATCCTGCTTCTCGAGTGACTTTATAGAGTCACTTACATAACTATAATTGGTTTTTATAAATGCCAAATTATTTTGTAATTCTACTGCTTTTAGTACAGCTTGGCAATCTTGTACTGCATTACTAGCTGTAGCTGGAAATTCATTTATTAATATTCTAAAACTATTAAAGGTATTTGTGTAGTATACAGCAGCATCTAACCACGTCCCCCTCCTCGTTAAAACTGGTTGTGGGGGTAATGGGATATTTGGTAACCTGTCTCTAAACAATTCTACCCTTAAAGGAGCTTTAACAAATATTTGTTTACCATATGTTATTAATTTATTTACTAACGGGAATTGTAATCTTATGGTTTCAGCTACTCCATTAAATCCGTGTGTCAAGCAAGTGCAATGAATTAAATTCGGATAAAAAATCTTCATATTAGATGCAGCTTTCACCATATACAGGGTGTAAACGGGATGAAATTCTCCATATTTCTCTAAATATGGAGAATATCTTACGATACCTTCCAAGATTTTATCCTTTTTTGTTGAAGTTTTTAATCTGTGATTTTGTTAATCTAATTTAAATTTAATTGTAAATTTAGTTATAAGAAATTAGATCTACTCCTGAACCCCACCTATTAACTAATTCCATTATATTGTATAATTTTTCTATGTACTGAAGATGAAGCATTAGTTTTCGAAACATGTCTACTTAAATAGAATTAAAACATTTTAATATTTCTCAAAAAAGTTTTTACTTTTACATAAATCCTAGTTTATATACAGGGTGATTCAAAAAACCGCTGACAGACTCCTAGAGTAGATAATAATACATGAAAAATTAAGATGAATAGTGTTAATATACATGGGTCGCAAATGCCTCCTTAGCGCGATATAGCGGATCAAAGTTTCTTTAATCTTAAACATTATCTGCAATAAAAAGCACATTTTTGAAAATATTGTCTACGCCATTGCTCTCCACGCGTGTAAAGTGATCAACTATCTATCAATTGGTCTCTTACAAAACTTTGATCAAAGCAATAGTTTTTAAGAAAAACACGTTTGTAGAAAATTTGTTAATTCAATCAAAAACTGTTGCTGTAATCAAAAATTTGTAAAAGACCAATTGATCGATAATTGATCACTTTACACGAAAATACTGCCCGTTTGACAAAATTAGCAGTGGAGTTGAAAATATTTTTGAAAAAGGGCTTTTTATTGCAGATAATGTTTAATTTTAAAGAAACTTTGAGCCGCTATATCTCGTTAAGGAGGCATTTGCGACCCCATGTATATTAAGACTTTTCATCTTAATTTTTGATGTATTACCTGCCCTAGAAGTCTGTCAGTGGTTTTTTGAATCACCCTGTATGCAGCTGCATCTGACATGAGTAAAATTTTATCATTAGGTACCGGCTGCGGTAAGAAAAAATGTGTCAATTCGTCATGAATAAATCTTGTTATTGTATTATTATTTGTTTTACTTAATTCTTTCGTACTTATTAGAAAACCTTTTGAAGAATGTTCGTCATTTAATACTCCGAGTATTAAATTTGCCACGTTTCGTCCAGATATCCACACATATCCATATATAATTATTTCCGATAATATTTTTTATTTCCTGGATAACCTCTTTGTACACCGAATTAATATAATTTTTGCGGGAGATGGCTTTCATCAGGAATGAGCATTGAGCAATATGTTTCTTAAAATGTTTTGAAATGTTCGTTTTTTAATTTATAAATATTTGCTTTAATCAGAGCTTTGCAAAGATTAAAATTGAATTTTGATTGTTCAGTATAAGCGGAAGTTGATGAAGTTTTAACATGCTGAATTATGTAGTATTTCTTGTCACATTTTACTACCATCTTCTGGTTAAGCTATCTAAGGGATTATTACCACGGTTATGGATATTTTACGCGCTCTGATTGGCTAGTAGATGGGTTTATCTATAAGATAAATTTAACTAAAAGATGGTAGTAATGGACCTTAGCCAATGAGAGCGCTTAAAACCGCTGTAACCATAGTAATTATCTATCGGTTAAACTTATCAAGAGGTGGTAAAAGTGGGCCTAAAAGAATTAAAGACTCGATCAATAATACGGGGAATCACGGAGAATTACATAGCACGAATTCGGTCAGGAAACAAAGATGCAGTGGCGTAGCAAGATTTTTTTTCGCAATTAAATAAATTTTGGAAAAAAGCCGAAAAATGAAAAGAAAAGCTTTAAATAGGCATGAAAAACAATAATAGGCATAAAAATTCAAAAAAAACAAGAAAGGCGAAATAACTTGGTGTTATTATATTCCTTTTTATCTGATTCGTATAGATTTCTAATCAGATTTTCCATGCCTTAATTTTTAAGCATAGGCATATTTTCTATAAATCCGGTCTTTAGTCATGACGTTTGTTGCTATGTATACTAAGTAATATCATCAAGTGCGGTGCTGCCTAATTATTAGAGTGATCTAATAACAATTAAAAAAATGGGTCGTTGAATAGCGAAAACTGGTTTAAAACATTTTAAAAATAGGCAATGTATTAAAAAAATTACCAAAATGATATTTTTAACTGCATCCCCAGTATAGCACATTATGGAAAGATTTGGACACGAGAAATAAAGGGAGTATTGTGCCAAATAAGATTTTCAACACAACTGTTGAGCTAGTAATTATTCGGAAAATCAAGGCTAATCTAAAGTTATCCGCTTCAAAATTGGCTGTCAAGATAGCGTCTGGGTTGGGTCAACTATTAGAGTCACATTGTAACTGTAATAGTTGACACCCCCTGTCAACTATTGGACACGATGGTTTTATATATATGACACGAAAATTATATTACTACCCACAAGTTGACACCCCCATGTCAACTACTCAATATTATGTCATATAAAGTTTCAATAGTTGACACGATGCCTAATAAAGCCACTTTTTATTTTAGGTCATTTTCAAAAAATGAATACATATTTTAGAGTCCAAAACGAACAACTAAATGTATTTTTAATCAAAATTATAAAATAATGTTAACATTTGAAATGCTTATCTTTTAGCTTATTCTTAGCAAACTTCACAAGCATATTACAATAATCGAATGAAAACCATGCACTCGTTGTAATCAGACGATCATTGTGTCACTGACGCTGTATGTACTTAATGGCACGATAGTCTGTATTTACGTCGCTAGAGAACTATGGTACATAGACAAACATATTTCGATCTTTTGCCGCCTGTGTTTCTCTTGTTAATTTATTTTTCTGCGTAAGTGTCAACTACTAGTGCCTTGTCAACTACTGATGCTTTTACCTTAAATGTTCACTTTCAAACTTACATTGAGTGGACAAATGAGTTGACAAAATTGTTGGTATTAGGCTACGAAAAATCTAAATTACCGAAGAGTGTTGCACAACCGCAAAAGATTTGAGGAAACCTTAACTGGAGAGAGATGTTCAGATTTTTTTCAAAACGATATCATTCCTTCCATAACGAACTCATTCCGATAATGTTGACTCAAATCAATTCCAACAGCAGTTATTCCAACAAGATGGCTCGCCACCACACTTTCAGAAGGTTTACTATAGTATATTGTGTCTCAAGGGCAGAAAATAAGCATTAGTAGCCCGAGGCTAATAGATAAGGGCTGCTAATGAATTTCTGCACGTGTGACACACAACTGTTTTTCGCCTCCCATTAAACCAAACAAAATTGCAAAAATATAAAATAAAACTAATTTTATAAATCAATTAATTTTATGATTTCAACTGACGTTTAATGAAAAATTATGAGAAACGTCAAAAATATCCGCAAATGTCAATGAAGACTAACTAAATTGTGTGAAAAACTATAAAGTAGGGACGTTCAGAGTTTAGAATTCCAAGGGCCGAAAATCTAGCTTTCAGTTATTTTTTAGGGCTGATATGATTTACTTTCAGGTATGGGAGGCGAAAAAATCAATTTTTGACACTTACGGAATTGTTTAGAATAATTAGTTCCATAGTTACTCATGGCTACTGCTATTTTTTATAAAATTTTATATAAAATATAAAATTTTCTTATGTAACCAACATTAATATTGACTGTAGATTCAGAAAAAAACCCTCTTTCATATTCCGTAATAAAAATGGGAGATTGCCAAAAAAATATGGATGACGAGATAACTCTTTTAAAAGTGGCAGAAAAAATTTGAAATCTACACCAATAAATTGCAAAAACTTTAAATCTTTAAACATGTTTCAGGGATTTTTCCATAAACCGTTTATAATGATTTCATCGCCTATATCCGCTACTTTACGGACATACTGTATACATAAATATTTTGTTATAAAAATTAGGAATTTGTATGAGTCCACGCTTGTCAGAGAGTCCGAAAAACCTTGTGCTAAATTTTCTTTTGCATTTTCTTGATGTTTATGGAATGAGTTTGTATTTATAACGGTTTATTAACTTACAGGTTCCTTCTTTTAAATAGTTTTCTACATTACCACTGTAATTTGAATGAGTTATTGAAATGAAGTTCAATAAAAGAGGTAAAATATTTTAAAAGAAACTATTATTATCCATCCATAAACATTTAAACTATACTTATTAATGCCTAATTCAAAATTTATTTATATAGGTACACTATTTTTGAATAATTATATAATAATATAAAGCTCAAAATTTGAAATACATTTATTAAAAATATATTTTAGTAGATACTTGTATATAACACGAATTATTTAAAAGATATTTTTAGTTTAATACACAATTTATTTAAACTTTTAAAAACAACCGTTTAATTTAAAATTAATTCAATAGATGGAGTTATTTGTATTTCGACAGAAGCGCTCTCCCGGTACGAATTGTATTTGTTGATCACGCGCAATCGCACTAAAAGCAAAACAATACTCAAAGGGGGTAAGAAAACACGACCAAAATAAAATAAAGTTTGTTGTTATACGTTGCCGGTTTATTCCTATATGTACCAGACCGCGAGAAATCGGGAAAATGATCGTTTTGAAGCCCATATGGGTGAAACATGAAGGTAAGTATTTCACGACCAATTTTGGCACTATCCTAACCTATAAATAACAACATTATTTATTCTCAGATAATAAACCGATATTTTCCGTGGATATACATCCAAAGGGTGGCCGATTCGCTACAGGAGGACAAGGGGGACAGGGTGGTCGTATTGTTATTTGGAGTATTGCCCCTGTTTTATCTGCTGATGATGAATCTGATTCAAAAACTCCTAAACAATTATGCCAAATGGATAATCACTTAGGTAAGTAATTGTTTGTAAAAGGGTAATAACAATTTGTGTTTGTATTTATTAGAGAATAAACTAATACAAATTTGTGTTAATAAGTATTTAATTAATAAATATTTTAAATAATATTTAATTAATAAATATTTTAAATAATATTTAATTAATAAATATTTTAAATAATATTTAATTAATATTAGTTTAAATAATACTTTTTAATAATATTTACTTGCAACATGGGTAACAACCTAAATTTAATGAATAAAGATTATTGAAGTTTTGTTTGCATAAAATTGATACTGTTATCAATAATCTTCTTTTTTCCGGTATTTTTTTTGTACCATGTATTATAAATTATTACATAATATTTTAAGCTAGATATTATGCGCATTTAGTGATAAATGAAAAATCATACTAAATAAAAATAAAATACTTATGTGACTAATGTTTATCAAAAACAGAAAAAAGCTTGTAGTGTTGTGATCTAGTTGGTTTTATTACCATATTACTTATGTTGTTATTATTGTTATGAACTCCTGATTATATAAAAGTTTGGGCAAGCAAGCATAATAGTCAATGAGTTAATCCATCTAATTTTTCAATATATCTGTACTTGTTTGTAATTTGTTAAATTGATTGGCTCAATAGAAATTGTAGGCATTAATTCCTGGAACTGGTTCCCTGTATTTTTTACAAACAAGTCTATAAATTAATCAATAAGATGCTTATGTAATTTATTTATTCAGTATTTAAGACCTCACCCAATGATTTACTCAACTTTAATCTTATCTTTCTTCCCTTACTTGACCTGTTTACTTCAGGTTCATTGCATAGCATATTTTATGAAACTATCTACATGTAAATGATTTGAATTAAGGGCTCGTAAATAGCTTTCCAAGTAAAACTCCCCATTTTTAAATTTTAACTTAATTTATAAGAGAAATTAACAGTTTATCATCAATTTTTAAAGCTACATTTGAATCAATTTTAGTTTTGAAGATAGTTTTTAAAACAATTTGTTTTGGGGCACTTTGAAATAATATGTATAAATTTCCCTAAACAATATTAATTACTGTATATTATCATTAAAAAGTAGATAAAAATGTTATCATTTCCTGATGAGTAGTTGCATCATTTATTGCATTAATGTGATAATTAGTTAAAATTAAAAATTTTTCTTTGTTCGTTTTGTTTCATTACTTTAATCTTATCAAAATTTATTTTATGGTTATAATTTGCAATATTTTTATTTGAAATTATTTTTGAAAAGTTTTTTGAAAAGTTATGAATTTGAAAATTGGAAAAAAGTTAACATACTATAATTGCATTTTAGTTTGATTTTTATAACTCGTTTCATAATGAATCATTACAATTCTTTTTTTATTTTCTAACCTGAAGAATTAGCTGTAAGATGGTATATAACAACGCAACGGTGGCCAAAGTGCGAGCCACATTTTTTGTAATACCTTTTTTGCATACCGTTTTAATATATCCGTATTTAATTGCGGTTCGCGAAAAATTTCAAATTGAAAAATGGTTCGGACTATCAAACAGCTTGGCCACTCCTGGTCTGGTATATAAGACTTTACTTACTTTAGAAAACGTTGACTATTAAATGAGAAATGTGATGTAAAATGAGGTAAGATAGTGGTATAAATTGAGAATTAAACTTCAATATTTTCACTATTCGAAAATAATAAACGGCCGGTTAAGTGAGCATGAAAAGTTATACCCAAAATCTACAAAATTAATCGATTAGAATGATTTTCTTACACAAAGCAGCCTTCTTTAATCACAAAGTAGATTTGAATTTGAGCTTCCTAACTGAAGAAAACTGATCACTTTATGATTATAAAGGCTTATACAAATATTCATGCATTTATCTTATTTAAAATGTCAATCTATATACTAAAAAAATGATGGATTGTAGTCAGGTAAAGTACCACTTCCAGTTACGTGGTTCTAATGAAATTTTCGATGTGAATGTTTCTGACAATTTTAATCGCTCATGCAATATTTCACTTGTTTATTTCGCTTTAAACGGCAAATTTATATAAAACAAGTTCAATATGATTTCAAATAAGCTTCCGGTCGAAGGATGTGACCCAAAACTTGATACGAATCTTAGATTTTGTTATACCGGGTGTCCCTTAAAAGTGGCTCACCCGCATATTTTTTTTTATTATTAGTGATATAAGAAAACCATTTGGCATGCATAATTAGGCCGTTAAAACGGATTATTACTACAGGAAATCATTTTCTTTGTGCTTCCGGTTATACCGGAAATGAGTACTAATTTCGCTATTTTTATACATCTTTAATTTTTTTTTCTTCAGTTGGGCAGAACGATCGCTTATCAAAAAAAGCGTTAAAAAAATTATTTTTTAACGTTTTAGTACCTTCGGAAAATGTATTACAACATTTGACGCATAGTAACTAGGTTAATAGTATAAACTACGTTATGTTCCTTTTGATTTGGTATTTCTCGAGCAGTGATCACTGCTATGCTTTATTCAGTGGTTCTTTTTTAATAATGGTGTAAATTAACAGTTGTATTAAATTAGTTTTAAAAGAAAAACTCGAAACAACAAGTAAATTTAATTCAATTATAACTAGAAAAAAAAAACTAATTTTCTAAATTTTCAAAATGCCGCCCGCCTTGATTTTGACATAATTGTATCTTCCGTATTGTCGATCTAACAACTCGACGTAATTCCTGCGGAGATATTTGAGTAATACAGTTTCTAACACGATTTTCTAATACCTCACGAGACCTTACAGGTGTATTATACATCTCATTTTTCATTTTGCCACATAAAAAAAAATCTAAAGGTGTGAGGTCAGGTGATCTGGAAGGTAAAAAGATAAGAATAATGAGAAATGTGAGAAAGAACCGGTTTATTCTCACCGTGGTGGCCTCTTTATTGGTCCATTATTACCAATCCAATCGTTATTGTACTTTCTACTTCAAAAATTAGTAACCATTCTGCTGTTGTGATGTGGGGCGCTGTCTTGTTGGAAAATTAGTCCATTATAAGTTCCAACTGGTAGGTCCTCCAGCAAATTCTCAATTCCATTATTAAGAAAGTTGAGGTATCTTTCCCCTGTAAGATGACCATCAAAAAATATTGGACCCAACACTCTTTCCCCAATGATTCCCATCCAACAATTAAAACCAAATCTTTCTTGGAAATTCCCTTCCTCCATCAAATATAAATTTTCTTGTGCCCAATACCTTTTATTATTTCGATTAAACATACCCAAGTTAGTAAATCGACTCTCATCTGTATACAGAATGTTGAAGGGAAATGCATTATCGTTGTCATATCTTTCTAAATACCAATTACAATACTGGAGTCGTCTTTCATAATCATTCTCGTACAAATGTTGATGTAATTGGTATTTGTAAGAACGAAGTTTATGTTTTTTTAAAATCCTCCACACCTGTTTTTGAAATTTCGCACTGTATTGCATCTCCTTAACTGATGCACTGTTGTTATTTTCGATACATGCTAAAACATTTCGTTCCGTATCGCCACTTACAATGTATCTAGGGTTTCCATTATTGACCGGCTGTTTGCATTTTCGCCACAATTTTTGAAAAGTAATGCCTTGTACTGGCCTACGACCAGGAAATCTCTTCGCGTAAAGTCTAGCAGCAGCAACTGCGTTTTTTCTGCATTCTCCAAATATTAATATCATATCTACTTTTTCGATTTGCGTGAATTTTTCCATAATTTAAATTGAAATTAACGAATATTGTCAACTAATGAACTTAATTACGTTATGTCAAATTGCTAGCAATTTTTTTTCCATAGCCACCTTAATAGGTTTTAATCAAAATAAAGTATACAATCCAAACCATAATGTACAATGGACATTGTAATTTACTATCAGCTACAGAACATTTACTGTAAAAGAACAAAAAATAAAAAATTAAAGATCAAAAATAATTGAATTAAATTTAGTTGTTTGTTCGTGTTTTTTCTTTAAAATTAATTTAATACAACTGTTAATTTACACCATTATTAAAAAAGAACCGCTGGCTAAAGCGTGGCAGTGATCACTGCTCGAGAAATAGCAAATCAAGAGGAACATAACGTAGTTTATACTATTAACCTAGCTACTATGCGTCAAAAGTAGTAATACATTTTCTGAAGATACTAAAACGTTGAAAAACAACGAAAATAACTTTTTTTTCCAAAAATTATAAGCGATCGTGAAAATTTTTTCAAGTAAAAGTTATGTGAAATTATGCTGTCTACTCAACTGAAGAAAAAAATTTATAGATTTAAAAAAATAGTGAAATTACTACTCACATCCGGTATAACCAGAAGTACAAAGATTGTTATTTCATGTCGTAATAATCCGTTTTAACGGCCTAATTATGTACTCTAAATGGTTTTCTTATATCACTAATAATAAAAAAAAATATGGGGGTGAGCCACTTTTGAGGGACACCCGGTATACGAAATTTCATTGTTGTAGCTTGCTGAGTGTTGGAGAAGTGAATATTGTCCTCCTAAATTCATGAAATTGGCCACTGCGACAATATTTCGCCTTATTATTGTGCCTTAACGTATTTAAAAAATTATCGGTTTAAATATCCAATACAGAGTTGGGTAGTATCCGGATACTTTTCAAATTTTGTATCCGGTATCCGTGACTAAATGTGAGAGTATCCGGTATCCGGATACTTTTTTCGGTGTTCGGATACCTTTTAATTGAGTTTTTTTTTATTTCCTATTCTATTATTACACACGTACAGGGTGGGCAAATTTGGGTGTTATTATAGGCTATCTCAGAAACTATAAGAGATACGAAAAAAGTAGGTGCCATGTCGTGATCTCTTTTTTTCGAGACTAATCCAATCCTGCAAACACCAAACCTCTATCTTCTTATGTTTTTAAGTTATAGCCAAAAAGTCAAAAGTGTTTTTTTAAATACAAACTATACTTGATCATGATGTTACTGAAATGACCATATTTTTAGGTTTCCAATGATGCATCGCATGTATGGTGTATTTGCAGAAAATAAGCGTTAATTTTCAATTCCAGAATAGTAAGCGCTAATGTTCAACATTTTGATTATAGTAGGCGGGTCCAGACAGTAAATACTACTTAGTGGCTATAATATATGGTTTTGCACGAATATGACATAATAAAGTTGGTTTTGTACCAACGAATAAAAACTTTGAATAGTTGATTTAAATTTCTCAGCATCTTATCCCTGACTTTGTTCACCGATAAAAAATGGTTAGCAAGTAAAGTGTGTTTATTAAAAATACAAGAAATGTATTAATTAATGAATAATTAAATATGGACAACTTCTGGAACTAAACAGTCACAAACTGTCATCTTCTTCTACTAAACTTACTGGTTGTAAGGTTAGAACAGTTCGGTATCAATGAATGAAATCTTCGGTAGTATTTTTCTAGTTTTCCCCAAACATAAGATTTAGAAGTTTTTTGATATCACAAATCTTTTCTTTTGAAATTGGGTGAGGTAGAGGAAAATTATGGATCATAAACTGGTATAACTTATATCTCAAAAATTAGCAGCTATGTTTAAAAATTTTCAACAGCAGTATATTTTACTCAAAAAAGTGTCTTAAGAATATATTAAGCCCATTTCTCTAATTTCAATAATAACCGAAATAGGAGTATTTTTTGAAATCGCTGCAATTTGACTTTTTGGCTATAACTTAAAAACAAAAGAAGATAGAGATTTGGTCTTTGCGGGATTGGATTAGTCTCGGAAAAAGAGACCGAGACATGCCACCTACCTTTTTCGTATCTCTTATAGTTTCTGAGATAACCTATAATAACACCCAAATTTGCCCACCCTGTGCATGTACAACAGTGTTTGAAACCCCATTTTTTTAAATTTTCTTCTACTATTGTACATCTTTTGTAACTACATCAATAATTGTGGCTTTACACGTTAGAAGTTAGTTGTTCTTCTCTTTTATTATTGTAGGAAAATCTATAAGTAAAATATGGATGACAATATACAGGGTGGTTCAGTTTTTAATCGCGAAATTTTACTAGGACGTAGTACTTGCCAAAATAACACAAGTTTTTATATAAATGTAGGGTCGCAATTCGTTTGTTTTCGAGCTATGGGCTGTCAAAGTTGTGCCAAAATTTACATTTTGTTTTGTATTTCAGCTGTAAGTAAACCGTAAAATTTGAAACTTTGTACGTATTTACTACTGGTTAAGACCTTAATTTCAAACATACCTAAAACTGCCCTAGCGCCCTCTAAGGGTGTGAAGTTCACCACACCCTTGATTTTTTTTATAAAGACTTTTTAACGCTTTGGAATATTAACATAAAAAAATATGGGTTGTAAAGTTCATTCATTAGTGGTACTTTTTGTCTCTTTAGTATTTCCCTTAAAGTTAATAGTTTCATTCTCCAAGCTAAATTTAAACTTAAGCTTTGGGAGGAATGCATCACTAAAAATAATACAGAATGTTTTGCTAATTTAAACAATTTCTTAGCAACCAATAATATCGTATTCGACCAGAATTAAAAAAAAATATATGTTCCAAAATATTATTAACTGGCTTGCAAAAGAAATTTTTATAATATTTTCCCCCTACTTGCAATAACTTAAGTTGGGTTGAAAATCCTTTTAATGACTACAGTGGTTTCTACTTCTTTTTGTTTAAATAAACACTAGTTACTTGTGTAGAGTTTTTATAACAAAGGCAGAGACACACCTCTTTCATAACATGTAATATGTAATTATATTACGACATATCTATCCCTAAAATAAAATCTGGGTGTGTTACTGAACGAAGGGTTCCATAAAAAAATTATTACAAAAAAGGGTTCCGCGCGATGACAAAGGTTGAAGAACACTGTAGTAGAGGATGAGGACTTATAGCAGAACAAGAGAATAACACCCAGAAAATGAAGATAAATGAGAGAAATATAACAAATTAAAAAAAGTATTAGCAATAGAGATCAGAAAACCCAAAAAGAAAGTGTAGGAAGTTATTTGGGCTACGTGTACAAAGTTCTTACTAAAAAATCTTCTACCCTTGCAAATCAAGAAGCCGACAGATTATAAAATGTCTATTCCCTGGTCATACAATCTATGGATAGAACATTATTTCTCAAAATGATCTCCCGTACTGACAAGGGTTGATGCAATACGTTGGATAACGTAACCAGGGTCTGCTAACGTGCCCGTAGAGCTGATAAACAGAAAATCATTGAAGTTCTTATTTAATCTCTTATACCCATATGTGAAATTGTTAATATATTATAAATTGGATTTAACTTTGTTTTTAAGGTATCCGGATCCGCAACTATTCACAAATTGTTGTCAAAGCACATGTGGTAGTAAAAGAGTCTTCAATCAAATCTTGCAACCGGAATTTTATGGTTTATCTGATCACATTCCTTTTTTTTCATCTAATCTCACAACTAATTAATTAAGTGTTGTACAAGCCTTTGTAATTATCTATATCTATACATACCTTTTCAATGAAATTGCGTAATCGACTACCCTATCCTGAAGATTAAGCAGCATTAAGCCGTCGGTTCTTTTCAAATCTTTTTGACAAATTTCGAACAATGAACAAATAATTTTCCACTTGGCTGATAGATATTGTTGGCGCATTTTATTGGGCCACCTCTCTTTGTGAGCACGGTGTCTCATTTGATTTATAGGAAACTAGTTGACTTTCGCAAAGAAAATGTTTTCTTCATTATGAAAGTTAAAATTTGCTTAAAGAAACTGTTCAGTTTTTAAAAAGAAAAATGTATTTCTGGAGAAAAGAGTTTGTTAGCCAATAAAAAACATTTTACCAAAAGTTAACCAGTTTCTTATAAAAGAGTCAGAGCGCCGAGGTTGAATGACCCTGATGTGTTACAACAGACAGCATTATATTAGCATTTGCAGTTAGTAGTAAACCATGGACCTTTATTGTTAACAAAATACAAACACACAGAAGGGGTTGGGTTGGGTTGTCTGGTCTGCAACCTTTATCGTGTACGTCATGGATATTATTCATGCTGGAGGCATTATCTTCCAAAGCTCGTAACCCCGACAATTTGCAATAAAATACAGCCATGAAAAAAACATAAGCTCAAATCCCAATCAAATTCAACCTACTTAAAATACAGGGGTTAAATTGTGGTTAGAATAAAGAATCAACAAGAAATGATAATTCAAGACTATATTAGAAACGTGATATTCCAAAAACTTTTGTCGTCTAATTGTAAGTTTGCCGTCCTTGATCAAAATGACATTTGAAAGAAAAAAATAATACCAACTAATGTATTACAATGAAATAATTAGTTAAGTTAGGTAAAAGTCTGACTGAACTTTAACCACGACATTTTAACTAAAATAATACCAATTTATAATCATCTAATACATTAATATTAATTAATAGCAATACTCAGACTAAATTATGATTTTATTAATACATATAAATGAAGTTTAAAGTTGTAATGTAATAAATAAATAATAAAATAACAATAATAGAAAATAATAAGTTTAAAGATTTTGAGTTTAGTTAATAATCTGTTTAAGTAACACTCTATATTATATTTATTCTTAAATCTATTTATTTAGCGTGTGTAAATGTGGTTCGATGGAGTTGCCAGGGTCATTTTCTTGCATCCGGAGGCGATGATAAGTTGGTAATGATATGGAAGTTAACTGGTGAAGGAAGCTCGACAATATTCGGCGGAGGCGGGAAAGTTAACATAGAAACATGGAAATGCGTTTTCACATTAAACGCCCACACTGGAGACGTCCTGGATTTAGCTTGGGCTTCTCACGACGGATGGTTAGCTTCCGGTAGTGTGGATAATACTATTATTATTTGGAACGCGCATAAATTTCCCGAAAAAATTGCTGTTTTAAAAGGACATACCGCAATGGTTAAGGTAAATCAAAAAAAAAGTTTCAGCTTTCATTCTTGGTGATGCATATTGTACCAATAACGGAGAGTGAAACCATATGGCTAATAACGTTTATTTGTATATTATAAATTATAAACAAGACGCAAAAATATAACGATATTTATATAAAAATTATATATGGCTGTGTTATTTATATAAAATAACACAGCTTTAAAACATGTGCCAAACGAAGTTTAATAAATACAGAGTTTCAATGTTATAGCATAAAACAAATATATTTTTATTGCTGGGGATTGTATCTACAGACAAGATTTAAATTTAATGACAAAGAGCTCTGCAATTGATAACACTTCTCATATTTTCGTTGATGAGTTTTTTTCTTATTTTTGTTGATATGAAGTACTATAGCAATATGCAATTTTTTTGTTACTTTGTTATTGAAAAATTAATCTCTACTCTACCTCGTATCGCATATCGATATCCGCCTGAAAAAAATCTAAGTAGAGGAGGCCCGTTTAAAAATTGCGCGACACATTTTATCAACCACAACAGTCGAGATAACGACTTTGACTGTCAACATTTATGAATTCAAGGACGAACTTTGACTATATAATTTCAGAAAAAATTGCGTATGCAGTACAGACT